CTCTAACCACACGTCAATAGTGAGAAAAGTTGGGTCGCTTTTCACAAACATGCAGTGTATTTCTCCATGGGTAAGAGATGGCAACATAACTTTGCTCTACGCTGGATTTCTGTTATCAAACTTAACATCGAATTCAGTTATAAAAATGGCGTTCAATACTCTCGTCTTTGCAGAATAAAAATTCGTTCTCCTTCAAGATTTCGTAAAAAATTTCAGTGTGGTAGTCCTGGTTTACGAATTCTCATACTGTGTGTTGTTTTTCTTTACAGTATGCATAAAATCTATTTAGAAACGGACTATTCGCAGTACAATGGTAAGTTGCTGTTCAGCGACGCCAACTGCGTTTTCGAAGTCAATACTGGAACTTGCAGTAAAAGTTCGGCCGCGTCATTTCGACGACATTATAAGTAAGCTCAAAAGCTCCGTTGAAATTGATTTTCAGTTGTCGGTATGACTCGTTCTTCAGCATGACGCTAGTTACCTTCGAGCTAGAATTATTGTATTAATTTTTCGTAGCAGTTCCTAGCCATAAATTCCTAGCTTGTGGCCTGGAAAAGAAATTTTAAATTAGTAATTCACTATCGAGAAAAAACATTTGAAATTGTGATTCTACCTTTGGTTTCTGATACCTGTCGGTGTTTCATTAGCTTTCAGTCATAATGTTTATACAGATTTTTCTATAGCGTCTTCAAAAGTTCTGTTTTAAAATCCTGTAGTGAAGATTTTGTCAAAATCTTCTGAATCATAAGAAAGGTGCTACCATCAGTTCAAGGTTTTCTTAGATTGTCGAACATGCCTCACGAATATGACTTGTATGACTGAAAAAGATCCGCTGAGTTTACTTTATTTTGTGGTAGAAGGAAAGAAAGAAGATCCATTTAAGATAAATGAAGTGACGAACAGTAAGCGGTTTCGAGTAAGTTGAGCTTGCTTTATTTAACAACTGTGTGAATAATATAACTGACACTCAAATGACTAATTTTATATAGTTTTTGTATTTTGCTGTAGTACACCCTGAGCTTCATGTCGTAAGATTGTTTTCTTTTTCGGCATTCTGTAGTCTGTTGGACTCATATACTTATAAAACTAATTGTATTCATTGAAATGAACCGAAATATTACCCCTGCAATTCCGTCTAGTATGATTTGTCAGAGATTTATTCGTCTAGAAGAGCAAATTAATTGAGAAAATTTTGCGGCCAGGCCCAAAGTTCATTTCAAGCAGCGAGTAACTCTAAGCCTAAAATCCATTACGGGACGTCCGTTACTGTCATCTCTCAAGCACACTTTAAAATTACTAAGTCTGTACGTTTTGGTCACCGCTTATCCTTTCGGGTCACATGGGCAGATGCGTCAGGCAACACTTCCAACGTTCCTGATCATGTGCGAACGTTTGTGCTCAGAAGAAACTGTCCGTACACTTGCCCCAAGCTGTTCCCGGGGGTCTTCGGCCGGTTCTTGGATACTTAGTTGATGTTTCGTCTTTCTGGAAGTATTCGACAGATCTGCTCAGACCATCACAGCTGCCATTTCTCAGTCGGAAGAGACAGTGCCTACACACCAGGGCTCTCTCGGATGTCTTTACTCCGCATCATGTCGAGACGCGTGAGCTCAGCCATTCCTCCTAGAAAGCCCATTTCAGTCCCTCATCCCGAGATCAAAGTTCTTCAGCCATGGTCCAAGGTTGATGACCGTACTTGGGCATGAGGAGGAATATCGATTTGACCACACAGCAGCCTTGGCGGACACCGGAGCCAACGCTGAAAGGTTTCGACTTAACGCTGTTTACTACTCTGACGCAGCACCTGCTCTCAGAAGTTGAAGCACCTTGACATCGATCCAATATCTTCACAGTCATGTC